GTTGTATCCTAGCTTATGAAATGCATTTTATTTTTGTCTTTTTAAATTTAATTTTTATATCCTTTTTGAACTTACTGTGGGGGTATGATATCGGCTGTGGGTCTAAACCTAATCTCTGCCAAACTGCTTTTCTATTTTTCCCTGTCATTCTTGTGAGCAGAAAAAAAAAATCCTTATCTCAGTAATTTAATGTTCTTGGGTTTATCTACACTGCACTGTTTCTGTCAATTTCAGCTGGTAAAGCAATGATGGACCAATAAGGATTTCTGACCACCCTCTGACAGTAAGTAGAAAAATTACTCAGGCCAAGTCATGTACATGTGATCAATCTAAGACCCAAATAAGTTACCTAGAAAATACATACCCTTCAAATATAAAAAGAAAATACAGTAGACTCCAGGCCTTTTAGGACCTTCTAGGGATTAGTCATTCCAAATAGTCAAGTTTTCTGAATATAGTTGAGACTTTATTCAAGCAGCAGTTTGTTTTCTTTTCTTTTTTTATACAGTTTGGATAATCTTTTAAAAATGTATTATACACTTCCTTATGAGCATAATGAATTTAACTTTTCTTGATGACTCAAAGTCCATCCTTGTGAATACATGTTATTATAAACATCTCATTTATACAGAAGCTTTGTAACAATTACATTTATCTTATTTAAGTTCACAGAACTATGAAGCAAGTACTCTCAGTGTTTTATTCTGACTTAATAAATGAGAAAACTGAGTTTTGGAGAACTTAAATGTTACATCCAAACTCCTTCAGTAGTAGGAAGCAAAGCTGAGAGAGATTCCAGGCTTTTCATACTACACAACAGATTTCCAGTGATTGTACAATACTGCAATACAGAAAGGTCTCAGTGGGATGCACAGGGCCATTGGTCCCATATATTTAAATTCTTAAGTTTATTCTTTCTAGTTTCTTGTTCACTTGCAGTCAGACTATTGATTACTTTTCACTGTACCTGCCTATAATAGCTCCCTCTTCTAATTTACTTCTTTCGACTTGGTAGAATTATGTGTAAAGCAGGAATAAGCAGAAAGTCACAGTCTGGGAGCCCCATGGTCAGAAGAGAAGCTTTTACTGTATTGACTTTGTGAGATCTATTCTGGCTGCTCCAGTTGTCATTTTTTTGTTTGTTTTGGGGTTTTTTTTTAATCATTGCAAAAGGAGTATGGTATAGTTTAAAAAAATAAAAACACACTGGATTTGTTGTCAGAGAATTCCAACTCTGCTACTCCCTATCTGTGTGACTTTGAAAAAACCCACACCATTTCTCAGGGCCCTGGTCTCTTCATCTATTGAGGGGACTGAATGTGATGATCTCCAAATTTCCTTCCAACTCTAGATTCCATTATACAAGATGACTTCAAGGGTGTTACTGTATATAATATAATAATAATAATAATAATAATTTATACTAGCAGTTTCAAGTACATCCAGGTACTATCTCTGCTACAACAAAAGGTTCAAGCCTAAATTTGCACCAAAATGACTTTATTACTTCATTTAAGGACTGAACACTGACTTTCAGCTTAAAAATGGTCAAACCTAACTCTTAAGGCATAAATCTAATACAAAATCCTCTGTTTGGTATTCAAAGTCCTTCATACTCACTCTAGGCTCTTTTCCCTACCCCCAACTCCTACCTTTCCAGTCTCAAGCCTTACTCCCCTCCATGCACCCTTCCATCAAATGACACTGGCCTCCTTGTTCTATGAATGTTCTCCTTCTATAGAAAGATTTTCCCAACTCCCCTTATTTTTAGCACCTTCCCTCTGTTAATTATTTCCCATTTATCCTATATATGTAGTTTATTTGTGCATATCTGTTTGCTTGTTGTTTCCCCCATTAGATTGCAAGTTCCTCAAGAGCAGGGACTGTCTTTTACCATTCCTAATAACTCCAAAGCTTAGCAAAGTATCTGGATAGTAAGTACTTAATAAATGTTTACTGACTAACTAGTCTGTAACCACGAAATCCAAGTCAAACCAATTTTCTTTTGGGTTAACAATTATCTGGTTGAATGACAACTCAGAGTCAGTCAAAACTATCTTTAAATTAGGGAAATGTTAAGCTGCATGGCGCCAAAGCCCAACCAATGAGGAGAGCTCACCTCACAAGTCCTCTGAATCCTAACTGCTTTCTCAATAAGGGAAGGGAATAGGGGGAAAGTCCCAGAAAAGATTCTGTATTTTGTTTTAAAGGAACCAAGGAAGGATGAGAAGGAGGGAAAAAGTAGTGGTATCACCAAAAAAAAAAAAAGAGAGTAGTAAAGAATCGGAAGGCCAAATGATGATATTTCTACCTTTCTCAAGATGTTCCAAGAGTATCCATTAGAGAAGCATGGAAGACAAAGCATTAGGGTCATTAACACCCAAAAGTAAAGGGGCATTTAGAAGAGAAGAATGAGCCAAGGTCAAGAAGAAGCCCCAGGCTCTGGGAAAATATTAATCCTACTGATCAGACTTCAAAATAAGATTGGATTTGTTGTGTCACACAATTGACAACCTAACCACAGTGTAGTCAGATACCAGAAGCTGTATTCAAAAAAGACTGCTGCCAAAAATAAGTGATAATGAATTTATACAATGGTTTTCATTTGAACATACAATATTTTTGCAACCACACTGAATAAGTGATGTTTACATGCCACTTTAAAGTATGCAAAGCATTTCATATACAACATTACTGTGAGGCAGACGGGACAGATACCATGCTTATTTTATAAACGAAGTTAAAGTGGCGTAGTGGGCCTGTAGTCAGGAAGACCCTAGTTCAAATCTTGTCTCAGACACGACTTACTGTGACCCTGGACAACTCACTTAACCTCTGTCTGCCTCAATTTCCTTAGCTGGAAAATGGGGATAATAATAGCACCTACCTCACAGGGTTGCTGTTGAGGAACAAATGAGATATTCATAAAGCACTTAGAATATGCGTAACACATATCCCATGCTTAATAAATGCTTGTTTCAGGGGCAGCTAGGTGGATAGAGCAACTGGCCCTGTAGTCAGGAGGACTTGAGTTCAAATTCGGCATCAGACGAATAACACTTACTAGCTGTGTGACTCTGGGAAGGTCACTTAACCCCAACTGCCTCACAAAAAAAAAAATGCTTGCTTCTTTCCTTCCTTCTTTCCGTGGGCACAAGGGATTAAATGACCACGGCCATAAAATTACTGTCAGAGGCAGGATTTGAACCTAAGCCTTCCTGGCTCTCCAAGAAAATTTAAGTGACTCACATAAGGTAACAGGGAATCAATTTACTACAGAACACAGTAGTTCTTTCGATGCTCAGACCAATCTACCATCCACTAAACTCCACTACATGTTTCTTTGGCTTACCAGTCAATAACCTTGCATGTTAAATCTGAACTTTGAATGTATGTTAACAGTGGAAATTTTAAGATCAAATACATATGTGTAAAATCAGATCAGCATTGATAGCATTGTAATTCCCCACTATTACTGCAGTATCTTTCAGTCCCAGACTCCTTTTTGATCTTCACTGCTAATTTTTTTGAGGAAAAAAAGAGACTAAGGCTAATAATGAGTCAGATATGATCTAGGGTCCAAAGCAGACATTTACAATAAGATGTAAATCCTAACTCAACACTCTCATATGCTGGAAATTATTTTTTTTCCCTGTATTTGTACTGTGGTGGTATAAGTAAGCAAACCAACTTTCCTGACACATGTCTTGAAATCTCTCAACCAATAAAACTTTTAAAGATTCAATTTCAGGAAAATGGACATATTATCTTTTTCCACTATCTAATTTATGGCAAAATTAATTCAGTTTCAGCGATAATTTAACAAAGTCTGCCATCATTCCAGAAAATCTCTTCATAAAGCCTATTTAGTTAACTGCTAGTGCTCATGCTGAACATGAACCCATCTATTTTTCTAATTCATGCTGATTACTGCAATAGGTAATAATTATACTTAACTTTACTAATATTTAACACAAATTCTTTCATCCTTATGTAGGGAAATATTATGCTATCCCCCACACAACCAGTATTCTACTACAAAAAGGAAAAAGGTCTAAAATTTTAAATCTATATTAAGACCTGAGTATTTATTGAAAGCCATTATTTTTAAAAATTGTATTTTGGTTATTTAAAAAAATAGTACCCTCCCCCAAATAAAGACACTTAAGATTCCTATTCTATTATCAAACTACAATAGATCTCTCCCTGCTCTCCTTTTTATAGGAGTCCAGTTACAATGATCAAAACCAGTCTCGATTTATTAGGATAAGTTATCTTAACTGACAACAAAGATACTTCTCTTTTGGTTGTTAGATGACAGGAAGTTATAAGTGCTTCAAAAAATAGCAGCTGTTTTGGACAAATTCAGTTTGAAGTAGCAGAATTCCTTGTGGGCATCCCTCAATTTTTAAGAGTCAAATGTTCATTCCAAGAGGTTCTCAAGCCTAAATCAGGGGTTCTTGACGTTTTGTGGGTGTGTATGATAGACGCTTCTCAGAATAATGCAGTAAAATACTTTAAGGAAATGCTAAATTTCAGTTACAAATTAGTGAAAATAAAGATGTATTTTTTTCCATCCAAATTCACAGATCCCTTTGAAAATCTATCCAAGGAACTGAATGGTCCATCGACCCCAGAATAAAAAACGCCCTGGCCAGTAGAAATCTAGAGAAGGTATCTATCCAAATAAAGCACAGTTGGAATCCCTCTAGCTTTGTCAAGAGAAGGCTGTCTGTTTCCTGCTGTCAGGAAACTGGTATAGCGTATCTTTGCTGTGTATCATCTAAACACTCCATCACCACCCCAAACACAAGAGGATGGCTAAAGCTCTCCTCCAGGTTTAAACAGGTCCCATCTGACAGAGAGAAGTAGATTCAGAAGGGCATTCCCCGCCCTCCCAAACCATCCAGAGGCTGGAGCCTAGGGGATAGGGAGTGAAGATGAAATCGGACGCCCCAAGGACCTGCCCGGGATGCGGAGCCTACGCAGGCAACACTCACTTGTAGGCGGCCACGGCTCGGTTCTCCAGATACTTCTGGGCTGTCATGACTCCCACGAAGAGAAAGTTCTTGGCCCGGGGTAGGTCGTCCGGGTGGCCGCCAGCGGCCAGCTCCGGAGGCCAAAGCAGCGAGCCCCGGGAGTCCTCGCGCGCCCCGCCGAGCGACAGCACAGGGGGCTGCTGCTGCTGCTGCGGTGGCAGATCCTGCAGCTGCTGCTGCAGACGGCAGCCCTCCGGGCTGGCTTTGCGCCGGTGACCCCCTTTCTTCAGCTCCGAAGCGCGGGGCAGGATCAGCCTTGACGCCAGGATGAAGCCCAGTATGAGCCCTAGCAACACACTGAGCCAGGAGCGGCGGCTTCTCCCAGCCATTCCCCAACTGCCCGCCGGCTGCACAGCCTCCCTCGCCCCCTGAAAAACAGCCACCTCCCCGGGAGCAGCCTTCTCCAAGCCGGCCCGACCCCACTGCGCTGCGCTGCTCGGCGCTGCGCTCCGCGGCTCCGGTCAGGGGCTCGCTCGCTGCAGTACCTCGTCCGCTCCCTTCACCGGCCGGCGGGAGAGAGCTGGCCCGTCACAGCACCCCGATCTGGGGAGGCCACCCTGTCTGTCCTAGCGGCCCCGGGCCGGGGACAGGCAGCGCGGCCGCGCTTGCGGCCGGCCCCGCATACCCATGGCTCCTCGGGGTCCTTCTAATCCGCCCGCAGGCCCCTCGCTCGCCCCGCGAGCACCGGCGCTTTGTTCTGCCCGCGCCCCCCCTCCCACCCCCGCCGCGGTCCTGCGCCTTTAAGAAGGGACCATGCCCGGCGCGCGGCGGCGGCGCTGGAGGTGGAGGAGGAGGAGGAGGAAGAGGAGACGGCAAAGGGACCAGAGAGCGGTAGCGAGGGCTCCCGCTCGGCGTCTCGGGGACAGAGTGGCAGCGCGTCCAGCAGCGGGGATCTCCTCTCCCTGCCTCTCTCCTGCCCCTCGGACTGGCTGGGTTCCGCTAAGCTAGCGCTACCCCTGCCCTCGTAGTCGCCGGCGGCGCCGCCGCTGCTGCTGCACATCCTCCGGCTCAGCTCGCCATTGCAACAGGAGCCCCTCACGTCACGCACAGCGCGTTATGAAGAGGCTGCCGCGGCAGTGGTCCCGTGGCCTCGCTCGGGATCCGTCCTCGCTGCCCCATTGGCGCAAAAGTGAATGGGGGGCGGTTCACGTGGCCAAAGTTTGGCCAAAAATAAAAAAATAAAAAGAGAGACGGAGAGAAAAGAACCCTCCCTTACCGAGTCCCCTCCTTCTTCCTCCTCCCTTCTGCCCCTTCCCTCTTCCTCCTCCCGGCCCTAACATCCCCCATCCCAGCGCGCGGTTCTTGCCCCCGGCTCCGCTGCACCCCGGGCGAGGAGAGGAGGATTCCAGCCCCCCGGGGCCAGGGGGAGGGCGGCTAACGGTCTCGGGGCTGGAGGAGAGCTGGGCGGGATTCAGCACCCGGGGCAGTGCCTGAGCCGCACCCTCCCTTCGGTTCAGCCCCCGAGCCCGTTATCCGCCGGGCCTGAGAGGGAGCCGAGCCCAGCCGAGCCGCCGCTCAGCCAGGGCGTGCCGCCGCCGCCGGTGCCCCTCCACGCCACACCCGCGCCCCGTCTAACCACTGCGGCCTCGCCTCCCTAGAAACCTGACGTGGAATAGGAAAGGGAGGGATCCGGCCCCAGCCTTGGCGGGGTGGGAGGGGAGCCTGGCCACGCTGGGCCCCCCACCCCCCGCCCCTTCTCTCGGCCCCACCGGCGGTGGAGCTGCCCACGTCTGCACTGGTCGGGCTCGGGGCTACGTTAGCCCTGCCGCTACCTGCCGGGCTGAAGCGCCCCGTGTCATCCCGGAGGCCCAGGGAGAAGGGCTTCTGCCAGTCTAGGGGAGCTAGGGACATGGGGGGCGGGGAGAGGCAGACTGAGGGGTCGCTTGCTTTAGCACGAGGAGGAAAGGTGGAAGCAGGTCTTCGTGCTAATGTTTTATGCATAAACCAGTTTTCCATTTCTTTTCTTTTTCCTTTTTCTAAAAATATTCATTTTCAAAATCCTGGATCTTCTATCAGTGCCTGGGCCTGTTTCTCTTCTGGAAGCTAGCACCTGCTCTCTTGGAGGGGATTCCTCTGATGACTTGTTTGTTTTTACGTACCCTGAGGGTTTCACAATTATCCTCCTCACCTTAATCTTCTCTCTCTGATTAAAACTGGTCCTAAGGGAAAATTGGGGAGGGAGGAGAGAAGATCCTCAATCTTACATTTATATCAACCTCTCTTCTAGTGCAGCCTATTTGACAAATTATGGAATTTTTAAAATCACTTTCCTTATAGCCTTTTAGGTCAAACATTATTCTTAACCTTCATTTTCTCTTCCCATATTCCCATATGCCAAAATCTTTCAGCAAAGAATCAGAAACTCTTCCAGGATTGATAAGCTTTATGTATATTCTCTCCCACCGTTTTGTTTTTTGTTTTTACATTTTCTTTGACGGAAAAAGTCCTGATAAAATTTCATAAAAATGCATCCTGATAAAATTTCTGGAGATTGCTTGTCTGAGCCATGCAATAAAATAGGGGTGGAGCTTTCCTGATACCTGTCAAATCATACTATATAGCTACCTACTCTACCATCTGTCCTCAGCAAAATCACAAACTACTGCCCCCTCCACTCTGACCAGGCAACTTTTCTCGGCTCACTACCATTGCTCAGATTTGTGTATCAGTTATTTTGGACTATATTAATCAACTTTGACATTCTCCCTTTGCATTTCAAAGGTCCTTATTTTAATGTAAAGTTCATTCCACCAAGCATTTATTCTTGGGGGTTTTTTTGGTTTTGTTTTGGTTTTTTGTTTGTTTTGTTAGTGAGCAATCGGAGTTAAGTGACTTGCCTAGGGGTCACATAGCTAGTAAGTATCACGTGTCTGAGGCCGGATTTGAACTGGGGTCCTCCTGACTCCAGGGCCGGTGCTCTCTATCCACTGGCCACCTAGCTGCCCCTCACCAAGCATTTATTCTGTGACAAGGGCGTTGAGTTAAAAACAGCCCTACTTTCAAAGAACTTACAGCTGACATCAATGATGATGATAAATATTACTTTTCATTACAATGAAGCAGGGACTGGAACTTAGATTTCATTAGCTTAAGAGAACTCAAGTGAAGAAACTGCTACCAAGGGAGGTCAGCACTTTCTCTGCAATTTATAGTCTAAGAGAATTGCTTAGAGCACTGAAAAGGTGACTTGCACAGGGTCATACATCCTGTATATGTCTAGAGGCAAGATTTTGAACCCAGATCGTCCTGGCTTTAATGCCAGCTCTCTATTCACTAGACCATGCTTTGAGTTCTAATTACAATGTGAAAGTATTTTCAGAGTTGGTAGGGACCTTAGAGGTAATCTAGTCCAGCCTCCTCCTTTTTCAAGAGAAGAAACTGAAACTCACATAGGCTAATGACCCTACTTGACTGCTCCACTATAGTTCATTAGGGAAGTGGATAGGTTGCTGGACTTGAAATGAGAAGAGGCCCAAGTTTGTATTTTACCTCTGACATTTACTATCCCTGTGACTGTAGATACCTAATTTAACCTCTCACGCTCAGTTCCCTCAATTATAAAATGAAAGTAATACTGTCCTATGTACCTCACAAACCTGTTGTGAGGCTCAATAGCATAGTGTATGTAAAGGGTCTTGCAAACTTTAAAGTTTTATATAAATGTCAGCAACTGTTATTGAGACAACTCGTTTACAAACAATACTCTGGGTTGCCAAAAGATAGGCTTTCTTAGAATTGACTGAATAACTCTGTTGGCAATTACTCATCTGATAACAAAATTGGGGGGGAAGCTAGGTGACTCAGTGGATAGAGTACCAGCCCTGAAGTCAGGAGGACCTGAGTTCAAATCTGACCTCAGACCAAACACTTGACACTTACTAGCTGTGTGACCCTGGGCAAGTCACTTAGCCCCAGTTGCCTTTAAAAAAAAATTAGGAATTATTTCTATCCTCCCTTTGTCCCATCCTCCCCCAATCAACAAGCTCCTTCCCTGTCAACTCTGGTACCAATCTCGTCCAAACCCTATTGGCCCTCCTGTCCTTTTGGAAAAGCATTATTTTAGTGATGCCTTTTATGGTCATCAGGCCTTAAGACCACAGCTCTAGAGCTGGAAGAAATCTCCGAAGCCAGCTAGTTCAGCCTCTCATTTTACAGATGAACAAAAGAAGGCCCATGCAGATTAAGTGACCTGTCCAAGGTCATACAGGGAATAAACATCCCAGGAGGGATTTAAATCTCGGTCCTTTGAGTCTAGAGCAGTGCATTTTTTTCCCATAACTTCCTGCTGTCACTCCCACAACAGAACCCTTCCTTTTAACCACTCCCTCCATACAGTTAAGCAAAAACAAAACAAAACAAAACACCACGTTGACCATATCTGAAAGTATATTTTTCATTTCGTACTTGTAGTTGTCAAGATTATTAGGAGACATCCTGTTTTCCAGAGCCAAGACCCAGCAAGCAAGCTGTGCCCTGAGCTGGGCATAATGACAATCCTTTGAGCTCTCCCTCTGGTTGATCTCAGCCACAACAAAATCCCAGAATTGTTTCTGGTCATGAAGCCCTGCTATAATCAAACTTGTCCCATTGTTGCTGTTACCCCTCATTGTCAGTGCTACAGCTCACTGTGCAGCCGTTGGTATAAGTATTGAGATCTCCCCACACTAAAGTGGTCCCCCTCCCCAGGGGCAAGGCTCTGGCACATGTGTCCTTGCTTGCAAGCGGTTTCCCTCACTTTGATATTAAACTTCTGTTTGATTCCTGAGGGGAAAAAAAAGATAGGCTTTCTGGGAGTGTCTCTTTAATTTTAAAATTTACATATACAGAAAAAATAAAAATTAAGAGGGTACATGAAGCTGTACTTAACTGCCAGCATGTTAGTATTCTCAAGTGAAAGGATTCTGGGATGCAAAATAATATTTCCAGGACCAAGATAGGTGCCTTTCACTAAATAAAATTATTTGGGGAATAAAAGTCACAGAGTGAGTCTTTTTTCAGTGACAATAAACTATCAGTGACTGAAGGAAAGAAAATCCTTGAATCATTTATATTTTGCCCAAAATTAAAAGTATCAAGATGTATGTGATATAAAAAGATATATAAAATATCCATGCGCTATACCCCGTCTTAGCTGCAGTGGGGTCACTTGCTTATTCAGAATTAGTGCTTTCCATTGCCATTTGTGACATATGTCAAAGAATTGTTCATTACCCACCATCCCACAGACTTTTCCCCTCTCTAAGTGGTGATCCACATCTAAAAATAATATCCTAGTTGTACTGTGAATATGGTATTACAACAGTGGTCTTCAGAAGAATATAGAACACATAACCATGAATTAAAGGTTCTAATTCCATTGAAGGGGATTTTCAGGAAGGCCATAAGCCACAAATGCAGAGCAAATCATCAGAACCTTCAAA